CAAAACAGATAAACGCATTTGACCTTATGGAAAATATGTAATTACACATTTCATGCACACAAATATAACTCAATAAAAAATTGGCATTCACGATGTAACATTTTTCTCTTGTTTTTGTATATAGATTAGATTTTTTAAGTATGGTTGTCTAAATTTGAGAAACCCTCATATATTTAAAAAAAAACGTCTTGCAGGTTTTGGTTGCGCATCTATTTTTCTCATATGTAATAATTACTATTTGCATTAAAAACAGACATAAATATAAACATTTTACTGTACAGTAAATTAATTAGTTTACACATATAAAATCATAGGAATAGATAAAGGAATAAATGCAGAAACTATGTAGAACTCATAATAATACAGTGAGTATCCTTTGAAATCGTACACCGTTTCGCTTATTACATTTTGGCTTAAAAACTATTGATATAGTGTGTTTAGGATGAAAACAATTTAGAATGAAATATATTAGTTTACCTTAATTATAAACACCTTTAATGAGTTTAATTAGAAAAATTTATCTATAACAAGTAAGACAAAAATAATTTACGGAAAAAAGCTCGTATATTAAAATCGTACATGTTTGTATAACTATAAAAATAGGAAGAATAGCATATCTAACGATTGGTCATCCTTTGTTTTTACTGCTATTTAAATGTTTTCTAGTACCAGAATCAGTTTAATATCCATTAATGAAATAAAAATACAAAAAAAATTTATGTAAAAGATATATATCCATTAATATACCTCGAATATTGAACAATTTCGATCTGATATTATTTTAGATGAAAATTTTCAACTCAAACAAATGTATTTTAGTTTAATCAATCTTATATATAAATATCAGTAGAGTATATTAAAATTTTATATTTACCTTAAATGATTGTTAATTAATCCAAGGAAATATATTTCAATTTAAAAGCACAGAGTATAAATTTAACGTACCGTTCTCTTCGAAATCAAACCATAGACTAGTTCTTTGTCCCCTATGAAAGTCAATTAAAATTCTTTTATTAATTGCTGTTTATATAACTTTCCAAAGGTTACATATGTATACCGAAAATAATATTCATAATAAATATAATTAAAAATTATACTTTTTCTATTTTTTTTACCATCATATTTATATGTAATACAACCCTTATTTAAAACAAATCTATTTTAATTTTGAACAATTACATAAACGTTAAAAGAACGTTTTGTATTTATTTCTAAATTTTCTTCATCCTAAACATATTATATCAATATCTTCAAAGTAAAAATCTAGTAAGCGTAACAGTGTCCAATGTTAAAGGACACTCACTGTATTTTGTAATATTATCAATGTACATATATGTAGAAAATTGTGAGAGAAAGAAAGAAGATGAACAACGAATCGTTCGTACGAGTGCGTGCGGAGCGCGATCGTCCATTGTGTTTACGATCTGCCTTAATTATGTACGTTAATATTTCTAAGGTAGAGTAAAGATGTTTTTCTTATAAGTAAATGTAAATAGATATTTTTAGCATAAGGCAAAGACGTTCTTCATATAAGTTTATATAGATATTTATAGAATAGGTAACGATGGTTATTCTCAAAAGTAGAACTGTAAGAAATACAGGCAAAGTCAGAGAGAGTGCGATTAAAATATATTTCTGTTTCATTAAAGTAAGAGGGTCTTTAATCAATACCCCTTGGTAAACCCCGATTCCTACATATAATATAATGTTACAAAAATAAATCAATATTAAAAACTTAAACTATTTTTAGGATGACTGTAAGTATAAGAATAAGTAAATGAATAAATAAAAATGAAAATGATAAAAGTAGAAATCCAGTATACCGTGAAAAGAAACAAAGTAATTGTCAATCTGTATATTTTTTTCTTTTAAGGTTAGTTTTTTGCAGAGAAAAGACATATTTTAGAGTAAGAGAGAGAGAGAGAGAAAGTGTAGGAGAGGCACTCTCGAGGAGCACTTAAAGTGGTCGAACAACTAAGAGTCGTATTTTAAAACAAAAATTGGTCTTTTCGAGAGAAACAAATCGACATATCTGCCCTGGCAATTTTCTATCTCTTTTACTTTTTTCTTTATATCTTTTTAATCAGGTTCGTGTCAATATTAACTTTTGTTTTGTTCATCAACGAGCCAGAATGAACGTGACTAATTGGGATATTTCTTTTTCTTCTGAATCCTCCCGACTATTCCAGCTTAAAAGAAGTTGCTCGACTAACCTCGTTTACTCATCGTCGCTTCTTTAAGCAGGATCGAAAAGTTCTTCGAGTGATAGTCTTTGATCAATCCTTTCTTTTCCTTCCTCCTTTCTAACTTTTCTCTTCTTTTCCTTTCTTTTTTTCTCTATTTTTTTTTTTATTTTCATTCTAAGACGCAGGGTTTCTTCTTTCTATATTGAGAAATTCTTCTTGGCATTCTTTCGGTCTTTCATCATATGTTCGGAAAGATTCCTTAAAATATTCTTTCTCGTAGCGCATTCGCATCATCATAATCTTGATCCTTTCAAGGAAATCGAGAATTTTTCGATAGATTTGAAATTTTTTTTTTTTATCAAATATCTTACAATGCCACATATAATATTTTTCCAAGTTTCAATTTTTATTCTGCGTTTTGAAAATGTCAATAGCATCGAATTCACGCGAATGTATTACTTTTCCTCCCCAAGTCCGGTTACAATAACTTTCGATATATTGCAAATGGTTATGTTTATCGAACATAAGCGTATAAATCGATATCATATATTTTCAAATATGAATTTTTAATCGTTTCGCACGAAGTTTATTCGCTTTTAATCAAAACTATGATTAATTTTAAACAATAAACGTTACGTTTTATGTTACGAAACTTTTCATTATTAATACTTTTATTCCATCAGGTAATTGGAATTTCAAACCAAGCAAACTCGATTGTATTACAATATTTATTAAATTCAATTTAAAATTAGCTACCTCATAGAATTTAACTGTGTAATATCGTCGTGCAAAATAACATCTATATATGTACATATAATATATTTATTCTAAAACTGTTTCTAACTCTCAGATTGAGCAACACAATTGTCAGATAAAAAAGTAGAAGAAGAAGAAGAAGAAAAATAAAAAAAAACAAAGAAAAAACTAGTGGGCCGAAGAAAGCTCGGTAGACTCATTTTTCCAAACTTCGGAAGTTCATTAACGAGATTAGTTTCCAAGGAATGGAAACGTGCGAACAATGGCATCGTCGGTTACAGTTGACTGCAGTAAATGGAAAGAGCAAAGAAAAATAAAAAGAAGAGGAATAAAAAAAAACGGGGAAAAAAATCTTGCGAGAGATATGCTGCAGAAATAAGGAAGAAAAAAGAAAGGGAAAGAGAGAGAGAGGAAGAAAAGAAATGATGAAAAATAATCCAGATTTTAATGATGTTAAAATTTGCATTACGAGACTCGTACGATAAAAAACCTCTGGCATTGATTCTCGATGTATTCGATAATATGCAAAGAAAAAAAAATATAAATAAAAATAAGAAAAGGAGGAAAAGAAAAAAAGAGATGGAAAATAATTTTGAAGTAAGATATTTTTGAAAAGAAATAATTCGGCACTATTGAACTCTCCGTAAAATGTTTTCATTGAATGAGTCAAAGCAATCAAGCAAGTGGTACGAATCCGGCACGTACGTTGAATGAAACTTCAAGTTAATCGCTTACGCTTGCAACTTACGACGAGAATTCCTATTGAAAACCAAACGAAATATAAATATAGATGCACTAATTATCAATGCGAAGTACGAACTTTGTTTACGTGTCTTTCGTTTTGTTTTTGATCATTGATTAAAATCGACCAAACCAATCACAATTGAATCAACAAAGCTAAAAAAGTATTTTCCTATTATTATAATCTTTATATATTCTTTCCTATATAAAGAATTTCCTATTATTTGGCTTTAAAATACTGATATTTTTTTTTCCTTTGCACAATTTTAGATTATGAGATTTGTTATTGATTTTTAGGATAATCGAATAGTTGAAGATGTTCGAACGTTTAGTATGCTTCGGTTAAAATTGATTATATTCTTATCTGGTTTTAAAGGATAGATATTATAATACAAAAGTTTCCTTAGTTGGAATATAAAAGAGAACGAAAGAATAAGAAATAACGTTGGAATAAGAAAAACGTGCCTTTTCGAAGTTTGACTATCTCTTTAAAGAGCCTTGGCTCTTTCATTGTAAACTTGGCTGTGTCATTATAAACTTTTTCCTTCTTTCGACCTCTTGAATTAACACTTCAAAGCTTTATATTATACTAGCTGCATCCTACACGTTCTATACTGTTTTAACACGAACATACATATTCGTCTTTCTTTTTCTTATTAAAAAAAAAAAGATTAATGACAAGTACGAAAGGAGTACACAATTAAAAAAAAATTTACTTTATCACATGTTTTAACACAAAATTGTCAGTATTAAGTTTCAATATTTTTTAATATTATATTCTCTATCCAGCTTTGCATAAACAAGAACACGCGGTCGTAAATAAATCGCGTACACTTATAGAATAAAAAATTGGTAGAGAGAAATACGAAAAACCAAATCCAACAGGAACAATCGAAGAAAATTATAATTATGCTGTTAATTATGAAAATGGATTAAGTCATAAAATTGTTAATAGTTTACTTTATAATAAAAATAATTGTTAGAGAAAATAAATGATAAAATTAATCGATTATAATTTTTCGACGTAACAATTATGCACATTATAAAATAAATCGTAAAATTAATTTTTTTTTTTTAATGTTTTTTAACTTTGTCCACTGTCAAAAGTTACTTAATTGCAAAAAAAAAAATAAATTTTATAATTTATTTAATATTATGTAAATAATGATAACATCAAAATCAATTAGTATTAATTAATCATGAAATTACTCCAGTGTCCACAATTTCGAGACGTGTAAGTAAAACGGTCGCGTTTAACATTATTCAGAATAGAAATATATCCAACAGTAAATACGACAAGTGTACTAAGATTCTTACCTTGAGGCGAATGTCCGCGAAAGAGGACATCGAACGCGTACCTACACCCTGGTTCCCTCTTCTCCCTTTTTCTTCGAATTTCTTCGGATAGAAACACCAGTTGACGATGACGATGACGATGACGATGACACAGGCCGACGTAAAATAATATTCCTTCTTTATTAAAATGACTTATTTAATAAAGAAACAGAGATACAGAAAGATAGATAGATAACGAAATAAATCAAGATATAATGATAAGATTTCGAAATCGTAAAGATCGTCAGAGGTACGAACGGCACGTGAACACCACGGCCGAGTGGCGCGACTGAACTCCGCTGAACCGAGTTGGAGCTTAACTTAGCGAAGAGAGGGGTGGTAGCAGGACCGAGGAAGGGTGAACGAGATCGGAAACGAGCTGGAGGGGTGGCGAGAGAAGACAGAGAGAGAATTGTAACGAGCGTTGGGAATTGAACGAGGATAGGAAAAGAGCTTTCTCTATCTGTCTCTTTCTATCTTCTATATCTTCTATCACTTTTTCTCTTTCTCTATTTTTCTTTCTTTCTCTGTCCGTTAGAAACTATCTCGGTTCTTTCGCATACGAACACGTAAACGTGTACACACACACACACACATACACAACGCGCGAGTATACACTCACACAACATCGATTTGTGTCGTCGAGAGTGGCGCAAGCGTCGCGATTCGCCGTATGCGCGTTCAGAAGCTTTTGCTGTTCGCGCGCGTACCGAGAGTACCAAGATCCCACCAATCCGGAAGTTCTCACGCGCGCTTTTCCCGTTTTGAGAAAGCTTCCTACCTCCAAAACCTCGTCTATCGGCATATCTCTTTCTCTCTCTTAACGTAGATCATTGAAACGTGAATTACGTAATGATTTCGATATAAACGATGGAATGGAATACGTTGAGGGAAAGAATTTCGATAAAACGATAAGCGATTGCATGCGTCTACCTTGCGTTTTCTTTTTTTCTTTTTTATTTTTTATTTTTTTATCAAAACGCGCTCTCCTCATTTAATATTTTTCTTAAATCTGTAGGTGTATCCGCAGTCTTAAACATTTTTACGATATCAAATTTTAAAGAGAGGAGTTATTTTTTTTCTTTCAAGCTCTTTTTAGAAATTTAGTTCTAATTAATTTAAATTAAAATTATATTTGAAAACACTAATCCAATCAATATAGGTATGTAGGTCAAACGATTATTGTATATATATTAGGTTCGGGCAAAAATAATATTACAGGTTTTTTTAATATTAAATTTGAAGGCTTACATGGATTAAATATCGAATATCTTTTTAAATGATCAACGTTAAGTTCTTCTGCAACTTTCTTACTTTATTTTATGGTAATTCGTTTTAATAATGATTATTAAATCTTTCTTTTTTGAGTCCAATTAAATGACGTTCTGAACACTCCGTATCTTTAAAGTTTTTGTTTCAATTAGGAAATTTTTGGGAAACAATGTTAAGCTATAAACTTGCTAATTATGTTTTAATCAATAGCATGGTTTTGATTTCAAACAGTTTCTACTGTTTTACTTCCTAATTTAAATTAATACAATAATACGAAGTGAATTTATCTTTATTTGTGATTAATTTGAAGATTAAAATTTCATAATGCTAAACGACGAAGACAATAATTTAAGTACAAATTAGTATTATTAATTTCATTACTTTATAATAGTGTATTTCTCAAACATAACTGAATGAAATAAAACTAGAAAATAAGCATCAAATTTAAAACAATAAAAACTATAATTATTTGTGAATGTGCTTATTTATTTATAACTTGAAATTTAAATTAGAAAATAAAGCTAAATGAATAGTATAATTCGATACACCTAAAATGTATTTGTCGGAAGGATTGACTTATCTAGACTAAAATACTGGTATGAGATTATTCATTAATTCAATGGGATTCCAATTAATTGAGTTTTTGTTTAAGAATACAATTAAATTATGTAAGCTGATAACTTTTTAGTCATCTTTAAATTATTTTCAAAGGTCGATTGCTAAAGCCCAACAAAAACGTGTTTGAATCAATACTATTCAATAATGTTTCGCAATAACATTTGAACGCAAACCTATTTAAATTAGTTTCAATCAATCTGTAGTTCATGATAGTAATATTGGGCTCGGGAAAATGTTTTTTCGTATTCTCCTCGTAAATAGATTTGAAATCGCGTTACTCAAATAATATTAGTCGGATTTAGCAAAACTTGCGTTCGTTTGAAAAGTGAAATAACATAGAATAATTACAAGACAATTGTGATATTCGCTTATTCGATCAAAACTCATCGTGAAATAAATGGAAATAAATGAAAAATTCGATGCATTGAAATTTTATTATAAAAAAGCAAAAATTCGACTTAAACTGTTAAAAAAAGTTATGATATTTATATGTATGATGTAGCACGTTCAACACAAAGCTGGTTCGAACGTTTTCAATATAGAAATTTTTATGTCAAAGATTGTACAATATGAAACGATCGTAGATGTTTGGTATATATCTAAAATACGTGCTTCAATTATTCCGAAACTTTCGAATTGCTAATTGTCAACGCATCCCCACTCTTCACGCCGTTTCTAATTGCGCCATGCTGAGCCAGCTAACAATAGCGTTCTTCCTATTCTTCCATTGGATTCCCACGAGGACACATCTATGCTGAAAAGAGATCATCATATTATCAAATCGCACGAGACACATAGTCAGCAACACCAGCACTATCCCACGCATCCTTATCTTAACACAGAAGGATTCCAGACTGAAGGAATCCGCGTATCCTTTGAAGTGAGTTTGCAACGAGGGAAATCGCAGAGGATAAAGGTTAAACCTATAGACCTCTCGTAAGATGAAATAAATGAAGAGAAGAGTATAGGTAACCCTCTGTATCTCTTTATACGAACGAGGTTTAGACACCTTCTATACCTCTATATACATATAATAATTCACAAGATTATTTGAATACTTGTAATGAAATACTTTATTAATTACAATAAGTATATTATACAACACTTATACCGATATATTATTAACATTGGATTGAGGTATGACTCTCTAGATTATATAGGTAAAGTTTCAAGCAAAAAAAAATCGAAATATATATTTATACAATAATTATGATTAGATGATGATAGTTATGATACCCGAAGTATAAAGTTCCATATCACCAAGTGTTACAGAAAAGTTAGTAAAGAATATGCATAATCGTTTACAAGATGTTATTCGTGCCAAAGGTAATTCTCTACTAAATATTAAAGACTTAAAAGTTACCTGTTCAAATACTTTTGTGGCTTCAACAACCTTTACATTTGTAAGAAATAAATCGTAACTATTGTATATATATTTCGATTTGTTTGAAACTATACCTACATAATTTAGAGAGTCATACCTTCATCCAATGTTAATAATATGACGGTATAAGTATTATATAATATATTTATTATAATTAATAAAATATTTCATGGTAAGTGGTTCAAATACTTTCATGAGTCACTGTATAAACGAGGTATGGTGCAAGGAGCAGCATAGCAATCGAGAGGTGAGACACGTGTTCAGTTTTCTATTAAACGCAATTCGTTATTATAATTAATTTATCAACCAGAGCTTGTAAGCGATCGAGAGGTGAGACACGTGTCTAATGTTTGGTTGGATATCGTTAATTCTTGTATTCTTGTATAATAATCTATGGTTTTTATGCCGTCATTCTTTTCTCTGACAAGCCAATAAGGTTTTCCTATTTCTATTGGTTCAATCAATCAATTAACTTGGTTCACAATATTTTAATAATAATTACAATTCTAATTTAACCACTAAAGCTCACATTCATACGGTCCCATACACCCATTAAATTATTCAGATTAGTCATATGTTATTACTACTTTCTTTGGTATATACTTTACATTTTCTTATTTATTTCTTTTTATTTGTTTTTGTCCAATAAATATTCCAATCAATCCTCTCCTATTTACACAAACTTCTAGTGTAGCAGTTATGTCGAAAAATGTACTTTCTCTATATATATATCCGAAAGTATGATATATATTATTAATAAAATTATAAATTAAAACGAATACAGAAAATAATTTAATAATCAAGTAAACTTTGTTTGTAGCTGACAGTTTTCTTAAAATAATAGATGTTATTGTGGTTGTCAACACATGGTTGGGATATATTGTCAACATTTTGGTTGTTGTAACTTAAAATTTTGTAATAAGAAAAATATTGTATTTTTTAATAAAATAAAGTAATACTCCCTGTTTTTAGGAAATTTCGGATTTCTGTAAAAGTAGTGTTAGAATGCAAAAAAGCAGTAACCAATTAAAACATTTAACAAATAATGAACGTAACGATATATTGCAAAAGTTTTTACAATAGAAGAAAGGTCAAAATTGGTGCTATTAAAAAGGCTTAATCTGATTTTAAAGTATATCGTTTAATTATAGTTAGTATTTAACAGACAACTCGAAAATAATACAATAAAAATAAAATTATTGCAAATGTTTCGAAACAGATCAATAAAACACCGGAGAAAACGTAAGGATTGTTTGGAAAAGTTGGCTTAAATTAAAAATATTCCTTTGAATCGTCGATGAAGTCTGTCTTGCGTTATTCGTATTTCTAAGTATACACTTTTCGATACCTCTAAGCAAAAGAAAGTTTTTAAGTGCATATCTTCCATCGTTAAACCTATCCTAACAGGACTTTAAAGTTCTGAATCTAGAATTCTTCAATTCTATACAATTTTTGAAAAATGAAACTACGCTCAATTCAATTAATGAACTGATTAAATGCGTTCAAAATGAGTATAACGAATTAGACAAAGAAACGTTTGATAACATTTATGTAATATTACATATGTGTTTGAAATCAATTATATTGATTGAAGTAGAAAAGCCCTATAAGATACCTCATATCAATAAAACAAAACTTCGTCGGAAGAAATAATTACTAGTGAATTTTGTCTGTACCCAAGAAGCATCAGATAAAGAGCTAGATTTCACTTTAATTAAAATTAATTTGTATTTTTTTTTAATTTTGTAAATCAATAATTTTACTTAACTTAACAGTAATTAAAATTACATTCTTGTAAATGCATAACATTAATTCGAACAAAAATAATGTTGAAATATAAAGCATATTTTCAGAAATTGGGAGTTCTAGTTTACTATTGAACACAAAAGGAATCCTTGTGTGTAGAAACGAAGAACTCTAGGGAATCCTTCGATGTAACCTTCTATTTCTCATTAATTCTCATGAAATGCAAAACAAGAATGCTTCGGTTTAAGTGGGTCGAGACTCACGATTGATTAAAGCCTCGGGATACTCCTCCGTTTGGTCCGCGTGAATTTTTAATGAGAATCAAGTTTCCCAGAAACACGAGTACTATGATCGGTTGTCAAGATGATACTTCCTCTTCAATGGAAAACGGAGACAACTGTGTGAGAGCAAAGACAAGAGATAGAAAGAAAAAGATGAAGAGAGGATGGTAGAGGCAGAGGTAGGAAGAAAAAAAAGTTAAAAAGACAGAGAGTGTGAGAAAGACCAAGTCGAAAGTGAAAAGTTGTCAAGTTTCTTTGTTCAAGATGAATACTTTCCTCTCAAATTCAGTCATTATAACAGTGAGAATCTATCTTCATTAATATAGCTTGAAAATTATTCTTTTCAAACTTTCGAATTTCTTGCTCTAAATCAAAGCAAAAGATATTTGATTGCAAAATCGTACACAATCACTGAGAACGAGCCATTTGCCAAAGAATTTGTCAAAATGAACGATTACATCGAACGAAATCTTGCTTACAATCTATACATAACTACAAATTTTTTAAAAGGTTTAAAATTATTATTATTTATAAACTGTTCTCCAAGTTCGTCTCGAATGCTATTAAAGAAATAAAATAATTTTAAAATTGATGAAAGAAAACAATTGTTTCTGATCACCGTGAATATTTTTATTTCTTTTAACAGAGTTTTTTTTATAATAAAAATTTTCCCGATACCAAGCTTTTATGATCGTTAAGAAAAATTTAATAAAATTGATAATAACATTTTTCGAAATATTTCAGTCTCTTCAAAGTCTTTAATACATGTATGGAAATTTAATTCCTATAGGAAAATTATTTTTATTAAGAAATATCTGATACATAGATAAGTACAGAATTATTACTAAATTTCTAATAGAAAAATAAATCCCAATTCTCATGAGATGATTAATATTAAATTTTCTTTATTTACGGTAAATAAAAATAAAATATAAAAACTGCCTCGTTATTAATAAAATGAAAAATTTCGGCCCCTGAAGTGGTTAATAAATGAAATTAATTCGACGTCCTGTTATCTAACCAGCAAGTCGACGAAGTCAAGTTTTTAATTAAAACGTTTAAGATCGTGCTAAATTAAGGTGTAAGCAATCTCGACTTCTCGCATTTTATCGCGTTGGCAAGCAACGAAATCTCGTGAGAAAAAAAAAGCGAATAAAACAAAGACCTCGTTGATTACTTTCTCGAAAAAAAAAGAAAAGAAATAAGTCAAACGTTTTTATCGATAGAGAAGAAAATAAATCGAAAAAGGGTAAGTTTGTTTTTCTGACATTTTCTTCTACTTTTCTTTCTCTCTCTTTCTCTCTCTCTCTCTCTCTCTCTCTCTCTCTCTCTCTCTCTCTCTCTCTCTCTCTCTTCTTTTTCTTTCTCATTTTCTTTTTCTTATAGTATCTTTCCTTCCTAAGCAATATTTCATCGTTGACCAAAAGCCATTGCTAGAGGGTTGAGGTCTTTCTCTGAAGCTTTACTCTTACTACTAACAAAACTACGCACTCGGGAAAAGTTTTAAAGTTTCTCTAGGGACATTCGATCACGTTCGTCATAAAAGCTCGATGTTAGAATCGACGAGAATGAAACTTCTACAGAAGTATAATAAGAATTAGAAAGCTAGATTTCAGTTGAGAATATCGTTCGTCGCTACTCTCATTGAATACTAAAACTTTGATCGACGTTTTCTTATCTAAAATACATAAAAACTCACAACGATTACACACTATACGTAGTAAAGAAATATTTTAAAAAGAATACCAATACGAATCGAGATCGTACTTTCAATTGAAAAACTCTTTTTGTTGTCAGTTTGAAAATAAAAAAGTTTGAAAAACAATATTTCCGGAGATAAATGTAGTCTGAAATATTTTCTCGTAAGTAAAAGAAAATAAAAGAAAAAAGATGTAAAAAAAAGAAAGAAAGATCGGAGCTGGTGACAAAGCTCTTTCTTCCTGATCAACGAGTCCGATAAAACTCTTTGCAGCATCGATCCCGGAGCTTGCATGCTATATCGGCTTATACGAGAGAAAAAGAGACAGAATGACGGAGAAAAAAAGAAAGAGGTGCTTGTTTGAGCAGCAAAATTTATAGCTGAATTTGCAAAACGCTTGCAGCCTACAAACGGTACTAGTAGTGGTATAGCATGCTATATCAGGCAACGCTGACGGCTCTTCTCAACTTCTTAACTTGGAAGTTCCTTGAACAGTTATAATTCGATGAACCTTACTGCAAGCTTTGTTCTAAAATATTGAAACATCGGCGGTTATGAATACTGTTTTAAGACTTTGATCTTCTGAAAAAAAAAACTTCGTTCGTATAATTCGATATACTGTAGATAAAATATAGCTTATTAAAATTTTTTGGATATAAAATTGAAAGAAAACAGTAATTTAAACAAAACAGAGGAAAAACAAAACAAGAAAGAAAGAGAGAATGAGATAAGCTCACTTACATGCATACATACATATTAGATTACAGCATAATTTCTATCTGATACAGTGTCTGATTTTTTGCGTCAAAAAAGTAAGACATTATTTCATTGAAAATTAATTAACTGACTATTAGATAAAGAAAAATTTTTGATAATAATGAATTATTAATTAAATAATGTCTCTGCAAAGTTATAGTGGTTTCGATTAATTAACAATACGACAGAAATTATGCAACTATCTAATAACACGCACTATAATTATAAAAAAGTTATTCACGAAGACTGGTGAAAGTGATTTTATAACATTTCGAAAAAGAGGGAAAAGAGCGAAATAAGTATACTAACGTAAATACATTGATATAAAGAAAAGTTACTGTGGACAAAAAAGTGTGATATACTATAAAAACAGTAACTTCATAAACAATTTTTTTTAACTTACTACGGACTTTATTCTAAAATATTGAGTCATTGACAGTTATAAAAATTGTTTTAAGACTTTGATGAAAAAAAATTTACAACAAAGCCACTTTTCTTATAAAATTTGATATACTATTGGATTGGCAACTAAGTAAGCTTGGTTATTTTAATAATAATTTATCGACAAAATCCGCAATCACTTAATTGCCAAAATGTATCGGTAGACATAATAAGAATCTTACGGCTATAACATTTCGTAAGAAAAAACAATAAAAAAGAAAATAAAATCTAGAATAAAAAAAAAACAAGAAAAAGAAAGCGACGAATGAGATAAGTAAATTAACATACATGTAAATATATGTAAAAGTTCATGAGGGTGAGAAAGAGGGTGTTTCTATAACATTTGTGGTTGCTATAACATTTCGAAAGAAAAAATAAATTACAAAAAAGTATAAGAAAAAGAAATCGAGAAAGGAGAAAGAGGTGAGATAAGTACACTTACGTACTGTGTATACATGCATAAACGCATATATATATTACATATACATATATAAAAGTTCACGAGGGTGATAGAAAAGAGGGTGGTTCTATAAGGACAGTAAATTTATGCTGAATCGTCCAGAGGGCAGTAGTATCTTTCCAAAATGGCTGTCGCGCCTCGGCATCCCGTGTGAGTCTCGACCTGTCTCGCCACCTGGATTTCAAGTGTACCATCGTCGTCGCTGATCTCGGATGAGAAAAATAGATACAGTGAGTATCATACGTCTCAAATATTCTTCTGGTCTACTACAAAATTATTAACTACTAGTGAGTAACAACATCTTTTTATATTTTAATATATTTCGGAAACGTCTACGTTGTGTGACGAGTGTGTGTCCTATGTTGCTATTGTCGAAAAAAAAAGGAATTCATTTCTTTCTCGAGTTTACTACGCAGTCGGGATGGCCGAAGAGACGCGAAAAGTCGACGTGTCCGTGCGCGTTAGTGCGTGAGGGGGAGTGCAAGAGAAAGAAAGAGAGAAATAGAAACAGATATATAGATATAGAAAGAGAAACAGATAGACAAAGCAGGCAGACTTGATAGAAAGGATAGATAGAAAGAGAGAGTGCTACATCGTGGATCAATAAAACGATGGCGGGTGGTTATGTTTTGACGTTTGTATGCGTGTTAGTCTGGACTACCAGACTACGGTGATAGTCTACAAGATTTAAATTAGGTTACTGCTCATTTACTCGACAATTAATTTATTATTTTTTTCAATTAATTATTTTACTCTTTTCTGCGGTGATACATTCGTTTTTTATGTACTTACATGTTTACAGGATTGGTAATATTTTGACATTTATATGCGTGTATATCTGAAAGACTAGATTTTAGGGATAGTCGCTCATTTACTTGACAACTAATTAATTATATTCTTCGATTGGTTGTTTGTTTTCTGCGATGACACATCTGTTTTGTATGTACTTACATGTTCTTGGGATCAGTTATGTTATGACATTTTGATTTGTGTATGTTTGGATTGTAGGGGTGGCATAAGAATTCAAAATAGGTTATGTCTCATTAACAGAATACCTAATTTATTATTTTCTTGAATCAGATATTTTACATATTCACACAATAGGTTATGTTTTACGTTAGTATGCGTTTATGTATGAATTTTAAAAGAAGTCACAAGGATTAAAAATAAGGTTATAGTTCATTTATACAACACCTTCACATTTTAGTTTCCTAATCAATTATGTTACCGTATTCTGTGTTGACACATATGCTTTATATGTACTTACATCCTCACACAATATTGCTATCAATTCTATACAATGAAATCACCGATTGAACAATTCTGAGTATTCAGATTTATTAATAGGACTGTATATAACAATTCGGTAAAACAAGGGAAACGGCTGATAGTAGTGTATGTATGTTTTGGAATGATGATGTTCAAATGATTTGATTGTCTTTCTGGTAAATGGAATATATTGATTTTGGCAATTCGATATTCTGATTATTCAAGAAACAATAGAAAAGTAAACATAAGAACATTGAGAGAAAGATAAGTACACAATGAAGAAGCCGTGACGTGTGAACATTACAGACAGCAATTTATAAAAATTTACCAATAGCAGAGATCAGAGATCGTTGATAAAGATTAATTATTTGGACACTTCGTGCATGTTGTTCTTTGCGAATATCATTACGTAAATATTTATACAAAAGCATTTAAAATTTAAAGTAAAGTAACAATATTAATGAATTGAATAATAAATTTGCAATCAACATTGATCGATAAATATTTACGATCAGAGTTAAAAGCAATTAGATATAATTAATAATGCAACTAATTGGTTAAAGTATTTATTGCGAGCAGTTTATGTGTTATTTTAAGTTTAAGAATTTTTTATTCAATTTAGTAAACTTCATATTTTTCAAAATACTTCAAAATCAAATCAACATTTTGTTTTTATTTATTTGTATGTATTTTCTTATAAAAGTTTCATTTATGAAATATAAAGAGAAATGGCTAAAGTATACTTTAGAAAACTTTTTATGAAGTAATTAATCGAAATAAAAAAATTGCCAAAATTAAAAATAAAGAAATATATCATCAAAGATGTTCCAAAAAGTTTCACTTTTAATATTGGATTTAATAAGATGACCAAAAAGATATATAAGCAAATTTTTTATCAATCAAGTAATTAATATAAAAATTGTAATAATTGAAAATTAAGAATCGTAACTACTTGCCCAGATTGCCTTTAAATTCGAAAAATCTAATTGCGCGAGCGTGCAATTAGGACAATGTATTCAAAATTTATCTCATAATTGGAGCAATTTTAGTAACTCTGTAACCGTACCGATATACATCTACAAAAACTCGCACATACATCTACAAAAACTTGATAATAGAACTTATCAAACAATGCAAAATTATCCTTTAGAATTTTTATCTATATGCAAAAGTTATTGTCCAATTCAATTAATAGATAAATTCTATGTACTTATCTCTTTTATTTGGTCTCCTTTTTTCAACTCCTTTAAACCGTTTGTATTCTTCCCTTCCGTGAATCGCATATTTTTCAGGTCGTTTTATTATTGACATTCCTTTACAATACGACGATTCATTGGCTCCTATTTTTCTTCTTTCTTTTTTCTTCCACGTAGTCTATTCTTTTCGCTTTCTATTTTATCTCCCTTTCTCTACACCCCCCCCCCCAATGTCACTACTAAGCGAACAAGTTTACTCGACCCCACGCAGTCGAACATGCTAAAGGATTCGAGAGTGAATTGGGGATGATTCAAGTGGTAGAGAAGAGATTCAAGAGAGCCGTTCAATGCCAATGACGTGACAGCAAAATTTGGGCATAGTGTTGTTATCCATTAATCTCATTTCACAAATGTCGATATTACGTTTGAGATGATATTAATTCTTGGAAATTATTTTCTATAGAATGTCCTGTTTGTGAGACAGCTTTCGTAATATTTTTTATTTATATATATTTCATTATCCCAAAAGATATCAGATATTTTTTCAATAGTTTAATTTTTCTTTTTTATTGATTCGAAGTAACATATTTTATTAAAAGAGTTTCCTTTGCACAAATAATTTCATCAAAATTTTATACTATTTCAAATTAATTATATTCGATGTTCAGAATAAAAAGATCGAAGTTCAAAAGTAAGTAAAAGCAAGGATTTAAGAGGGAAAATACTTTTTGTAAATCATACTAGTACAGATAGCTCAAACATATAATTAACAGATTATTGATCAATTTTAAGTATACTGGCGTGTATGAGTGAAAGGAACTTATGTAATTATCCGATCTAGTAATAATTAACCTCGTTTATTTTTTTAAGTTATCTTGTTTCTATTCTCGGCACAACATCACAAACATATAAAACAAAATCGATATTAAATATTTCTAGAAATAATAATAAAATGTAAAATTATAGAAGCTCATAATGATTATATTATTTATTATGTTCATTTAAATTTTGACATTACGAATTATTCTGAATTTCTTATATTTTATTTCAATTCTTGTCAAACCTATTAATGAGACACATTAGGCTATTGTGTGTAATAACTGGTCAACAATGTGTTAACCGTTTGTAAATGCCACATACAACGTGATCGCCCTATTCACATTTCATATTGAAAAGTGATAGAGCAGGTGACCGTGTTGCGCAATTGATGGTGCGCTTCGGTTTATCGACACGTATTGAAACAAACGATGTCGTTCTGCTTTGATATTTTTTAACATAAATTGAAACAAGCGTTATTGCTTATAACTTTTTTAAAAAGTGGTTTGTCTTTTATTTTTAAAAATTCTTAAAACTAAGACGATTAAATTTTTAATCCAAATTTATTATAGAAGCTAATTATTCGAATATAATTAAAAAATAATTTGACAAGACTATAATTATAACGAGCTATTAGATTGGTACACAAATAATTTTGGTTATTGTTATATTGAATTTTCCATTGATTTTTCTAGTTAACTTTTATTAAATTATGGTAAACAATATATAAGTAATAATATATCATAAAATTAGGACTATTGATTTTTGTTTATATTATTGTTTTCATTGTTTGCTATTGACAAATTAGTGTTTTTAGATCAATTGTAGAGAAAAAAACCTTCACATGATTATCCTTTACGAGTTTAATTTGGCACATAAAGCAGTATAAACTAGACGAAATCAATATCACGTTTTGGACCGAGAGACAATTAGCAAATTTACAGCTAATTGGTTTTGAAAATTTCTTGATGGAAACAAAAATCTTGAAGATAAAAAAGATTGCGAATATTTTGTAACTATTAAAAACAACGATTCAAAAGCTATTATCAAAACGAATTCGAGAGATTACAGAGAAACTGAATGTTGATCATTAAGAGCGATTATTCGCCACGTCGAGTAAAATCTGCTATTGTTTTTACTCTATAACGTAATATTAACACAAAAATAAAGGAAAAATACACGGTGTTTTTTGTACATTACATTAAAGAAAATGGATTTGATTTCGTCTAAAACCATTTGGGAAGACTGTGATTACTTCTGCCATTAGAAAGTCGAGAAGATGCTATTACAACGTTATTGTCCTTAACCCATCCTAAGGTTACTTTTTTCTGAAACGAAAGCTTTTAAACGAACGAGAGAAAGGGAATATCCGGCATCGAACGGGTGCGAAGTTTGTTTGATGGTTTAGGATTACTCGTTGGCACGAATTTGACCCGAATACGGTTAGAATTCGAGCCGTGAAACCGTGAAGCGTTTTCCGCAAACTCTGAAGAAGACAGCTTACATGATGATCTACCATGATGGTCCAAAACTACTTCCTATTCTCTTTCTTTTTACTGTTTTTTTCGTTTATCTTTTGAAGGCTTATCGAATGTCTTGTTGAATCCTACATAAAAAATGGTTATCAATATAGTTTTGAGAAATTCAAAACTCCAAAGTGTTAACATCGGTGAGAAATAAGATTTGTTTGAACAACATTTTAACATTCATTATTCAAAACGACGAGTAATGTTTCTCTTTCGTTTTCTTTTTTTATCTTTTTATTCAAAGAAGGAAAAGCTTGTTATATGTGTCAAAGAAAGATTTACTCGCACGATTTATTATGAAATATGTTTTATTCCAATACTTTGTTCGTTCGTACCTGAGTCATTTCCTTTCGATTCGTGCCAAGTTTATAAACCAAGTTTATAAACACTAATCACCAACCGCAGAGCAATCCGTTCACAATGATGTTCACTTATATGCCATAAAGTGATAGGAAAGATATCATCTATAAATGATTCCAT